AACCAGGCTGCTGAGTTAAATCACAGTCAAATTGGGCTTTGCCTCCTCTTTTCAGGCAGCTGCAGAACTTCACCCTTTCATTTTTCCTCCTCAGGTTCTGCCTTTCTCAAAGCCTTTAAGCGAAGCTCTAAGGAGTTTTCTAATTTATACCCACAGTGGTTTGTTAAAACAAAGGCAAGAATGTTATCAGGAGAGTTGCACTTTGGTTTGAGGCAATGGGGATTAAAGAAACCCAAAGCAAACGTGGACACACACAGACACCCTGAAACAACAGGAAAATCGAAGGTAATGAAAAAAACCAACCAGAAGTCTTTATTTCCTATGCAAGAAGTAATTCCTCACACAAATTGCAGCTCCCCCATATCCTGGTTGCTATAAAATCGCAATGTCACCAGGGGGAACAGTCCCACAGGGTTTCCCCACGCACCCAAAACTTCTGTATTTCTTTGGCAGCTCATCACTCAAAGGTGAGAGATGTCCCTGATCCGATTGTTGTTAACAAGCTCCTCGGGGAAGGAATTTGGAGACGATGGGCTGATAGGAAGGAAAAGGCTTGGCTAGGTCCTGGATGGGGATTTTCCACCTGTGGTCACTTGAGCTGTAGCATCACCAGTGGGAAAGACACTCCTTAATACAGGGGAAAATAACCCAAACAGGGATGTGATCCTGGCGAGCAATAAGAAATAAGTCTTTATTCTTTATTTATACTTTATTCTTTATCCTTTATTCTTTATTTGTACTTTATTCTTATTCTTTACTAAAGTTACCAGCCTGAAGCTGACTCTTACTGTTGCCAGCAGGACATGACAGTATCCACATATGCCTGCTCTTTAGATGCCCATTTCCCCTTCAAAGCTGCATTTCATCTACTTCTGAACAAAATCCATTCCTTTTCCTGTATGATTTTTGTTCCTTCTTGGTACCATTGCTCTCTGTGGTCACCTCCAAGAGGTGCAAAATGGTCACAGGAGTCCCTTTAGGTATCAAAAGGCAGAAGATTTGAAATAAGTGGCTAGAAAATTGTGGATCAGGATTTCTTATACATCACCACCATCTGTTGGACGTTGTTGGGAATTTCCACTCTTTTTTATTTAAGGTAAAACCTTTTTCTTACTTGCTGGGAAGCTTTGGGTAGCCAAGTGGCTTGTTCTTGCCCAGGAAACTGAGAAATAATAGATAAATGAACAAAGGCCATCATGTTGCATCTACAGTTGGCTGAACCTATGTAGACAGTTTATTTTCTGACCCTGTTAAAGCAATGTCAAATGGTTTAACAGCTTCAAAGGCCCCTCACATTTAGAAATGATGCTTTAAACCATGCTTTTCCTAATGCAGTTCTTGGCTGAGATTTCAGGTTGTATGAAATGTAGATTAATGTAGAATCATAGAGTGGTTTGGGTTGGAAAGGACCCTGGTTCCAACCGCCTGCCATGGTCAGAGACACTACACACCAACATCCTTGTAGGCCCTGTCAGACACTGGAAGTTGCCCTGAGGTCTCCACACAGCTTCTCTTCTCCAGGCTGAACAGCCCCAGTGTTCTCAGCCTGGCTCCATAGAGGAGCTGCTCCAGCCCCTGAGCATCCTCGTGGCCTCCTCTGGACTTGATCCATGTCCTTCTGATGTTGAGGATATCAAATTCACTCTGCCTTTTAAATTTGTTTTTCTCTTAAATAGTCTGGGCTATCCATACACAATTTGACATGCTAATTCCTGGTATTTTAAATGATTCCCTTCTCCATCAGTTGTTTCCTATAGATCCACAGATCCCTCTCAGAAGGTGTCCCCATTGCACATCTTTACTCCTGACAAAGCCATCCCAGATTTTATAATGAAAGCAAATGAAAACACATCAGATCTCAGAACAGGTAAGGTCTCAACCTTTATCCCATGTAGGTGAAGGATTTAATTCCTTGTTGTTGATGTATGTAAGTCACACCCATCACCACCTAAATAATCCCAGGGGAGCAGCTGGGATTATTTAGGTGCTCTCTGATGCTGAATGAAACGGGTGAGGATGCCTATACAGTAACCAAGTTCTTGGGTTACTGGTGGATCTATCCTGGTAACCTGCATGGGGTAGGAAACCCTCCTTTTGTTATGGAACATTAAGTGCTAGGCAGGAATAACCAGGGTCACTCCTTACTAGGGCTTTCTGGGAGCAAAGAGGTGACTTCTGTCCTTTCCTAGAAGGCCCTGCAGCCCCCTCTCATCTTTGGGAGCACAGTAACGGAAGCATTTCTGATTGAAAAGTAAAGGCAGCTGCATCAAAATGAAAAGGAAGTTGTGTTTTTATATTTTCATTCTAAGTATCTGCATAAACTGAGATAAAGGAGAGCTGGATTTCTCCTCCACCGAGGGAACGCTTCTAAGAGTGCTTCCCAAGAGGTAATCTTGTTTTTGAATATGGATATGACACACTACATACTGCTATGTACCGAACCACCTTTGGGGATTTCTGAAGCTTGTATAAAACTCTTAAAGGCAACAATTTTGGGCTGGTATTGTTCAAATAACACCTTCTGGTGCCATTAACTTTAAAACCTGTTGGGTGTATCCTGACCTGGCTCTTGAGAGCTCTTTGGGCTGACCCTTGCCAGGTCTGACAGCTCCCTGGCAGTTAATATGTAATCCCCTGACTTGTGTTATCCCTGGCTCTGTGAATACCACAAAGGACAATGCTCTGGAAGGACGAGTAGATGCTGTATGGGAGAAGACAGAGCAGCATTACCCTTCTAGCTGGAGCCTGGAGAAGCTGTGAGTATTAAAACCCATTTCAACTGGATCTGAGAGCAAAGAGGAAGAAATCCCTGATATGAAAACCCTGCTTTGTCCTGTGGTATCCACAGGATCCACAGGCTTTGTAGCAAACTTTAAACCCTCTGCTTTATTTCAGGGCAGCAGAAACCATCACCTTGAGGAATCAGAGGGATGTTGGTGGTGTGAGCATGGGGCTTTTTTGCTTCATATTTTAAACGATCTTTTTCTTCACTCATTTGATAGTTTGTGCTGTAAGACTCTCAAAAGAGCAGCTAGCCAAACAGTGTGTTAGAGCTCTATAGAGCTGGCACCTTCCCCTTGTTCCTACACTGAGATCTTGAGGGTAACATCCACTATGATGGCTTTGGACTGCCAGAGGGGAGATTGGGCTGAGCTCTTAGGCAGAAGCTCTTCCCTGTGAGGGTGCTGAGGCGCTGGCACAGGATGCCCAGAGAAGCTGTGGCTGCCCCATCCCTGGCAGTGCTCAAGGCCAGGTTGGACACAGGGGCTTAGAGCAAGCTGCTCTAGGGGAAGGTGTCCCTACCCATGGCAGGGGTTGGAACTGGATGATCTTTAAGGTCTCTTCCAAGACAAATCACTCTGGGATTCTATGGTTCCATGAGAGCAAGCTAACTGCTACCTAACCAGGAGGTTGTGCTGCAAGGTTTTGCTTGGCTGTAGGGTCTCAACAGCAGCTGGATGTTCTCCTATCCATAATGTCAAGAGTTATAACTTGGATAATGCTAGCAACAGTCTGCTTGGTGAGTCCTGGGGCAGCTTGTTGAAAGCTTGGCCAAAAAGCAAGATCTTACCAAATCGGAGTAAGAAAGCCACAAGTGGAGGTCCTTTCCCCAGGAATACAGGGATAAATATTCAGTTAACTCTTCAGCAGAGTGTGGACCCACAACCTGCATGGATAATATCTAAACGCAGGCGGCCAGGTATGGCTTTTCACTTTATCTCCATTCCAGTGAGTGTGCTCGAGCTGCAGGGAGATGTGATTGCTGGGGGGAAGCTGTTGTGTATAGCACAAGCTGCAGCCTTAGAAACATCCCAGGTTTCATACCTGCACCTTGGATCACTTCAGACCAAGCAGTTGGTTTGTCAAGCAAGAAAAAGCGAGGGTGAGCCTTTGTTAATTGTGAGCTTCAGGTCAGTTCTCCACTGGCAGGAGATGTGTGTGTCTGGGCAGGTGGATGCTGCCTCAGGGGGAGGGTTGAGCCCCAGACCCAAACAGTTCCATTTTCGTTACTTGGGTCACATCTTCCAGCTCTGTGGTGATGTCTCAGGAGCTGCTTTGCCTCCGGCATCTCTGGGTGAGCAGTGAAAAGCAGCCCTAAATCCCCATTAATAACACCAGGAGACCACACGCGTTGCTCACAGGACATCTGAAATGAGGAGTCTGGCTCTGGAGGTGGACCTCACCCCTTCAGCAAAGGGTCATCAAATAATGATGACTCTTAAGCATGGCTCTGCTTGTCAGATACCAGGCAGCGTGCACTCCTGCTTTGCTCTCTGGTGTAACTCTGTCAAGTGATGATTAATGTTAGGCAGGAAAAATCAATGAGGGTTTATTCTACCTGTCGTAAGCTGTGATTTAGGAGCTGCTGATTTCTCCCAGGGAGAATTTATCTTTGATCAAGCCTGAATGTATCTTTTGTCTCCAAGTTAGGCATCGTGTCTAAAGCAAAGTGAGGCGAGAAATCCCGGCTCTGCACCATCCTACCCTAAGGAAAGCCACATTTGCCCTCAAAGAGCTCCTCCTGGAACACAGAGAACAGCTATTTATTCCTCATGTACTCACACTGGACTGGCAGCACCCAGAAGATGAGAAATAATTCCTTTTTCCCAGCAGTTACTGGGGAATTCAAGGACTTCCATGTGTCAGTGTCTTGAGAGGAACTATGAGGAACCCTGCAGTTTATTCATTCTGGTGTTGCCCTCTCTCCTTGCCTTAAAATATCTGCTTGCTTCCAGCTGTGTTGGTGGTGGTTGTGGTGTTCAGCCAAGATTGGCCTTGGGAACTTGCTGTTTTCCTCTCTCAAAGAGAATTCACCTTATGTTGACATATATATATGTATGTGTGTGTATATAGGTATATATACACACTTTATATTGACTTAAAGTGGTGTAACTGATTGATAGACAAAACCTGACATTCTTAACATTATTGAGGGATTCAGGCCTATTCAGCATTTCAATTTAAAGACATAAAGCAGGCAAACTGCTTATAGGATCACTATGGTTGAAGATAATTATACGGCCCCCTCCGAGTTTATTCTGCTGGGCTTCACAAACAGGGAAGACCTGCGGGTGATGTGCTTTGTCTTATTCCTTGCCATCTATGTGGTTACCTTCATAGGAAACATGGGACTAATCGCATTAGTCAGAATGGATTCCTGCCTACACACCCCCATGTACTAAGCCACTTGTCTCTCCTGGATGTCTGCTACTCCTCTACCATCATCCCTCAAGCCTTGCTGAATGGACTAGTGGAGAAGAAGGTGATTTCCTTCCTTAGGTGTGCCATTCAGCTCTTCTCCTTTGCAACCTGTGCCACCACCGAGTGCTATGTGCTGGCTGCTATGGCTTATGATCGCTACATGGCCATTTGTAACCCCCTTCTCTACTCCACGGTCATGTCCCAAAGGCTTTGCATTGGGATGTTGGCTGGTGCCTACTTAGCTGGCGTGATCAGCTCTACCATACACACAGTTTCTATATTTCGTCTCCCGTTCTGTCGGTCCAAGACGATCAATCACTTCTTCTGTGATGGACCACCACTGCTAGCCCTCTCCTGCTCTGACACCCATGCCATCGAGGTGATGGTTGCTGCCGTGGTGGGGTTCAATGTACTGAGCACCACGGTCTTCATCCTCATCTCCTACTTGTCCATCCTTTCCACTGTCATGCGGATGCAGTCTGTGGCTGGTCGACGCAAAGCTTTCTCCACCTGTGTCTCTCACTTCATCTCCATTGCTTTGTACTATGGCAGCTCCCTCTTCATGTACCTGCGCCCCAGCTCCAGCCAGTCCCCGAAGCATGACGAGGTGGTCTCCATGCTGTACTCTGTGGTTGTCCCCATGCTGAACCCGCTCATCTACAGCCTAAGAAATGTGGATATGAAGAACGCCATGAGGAAAGCAAAGAGTAGAGTCCTCTCTTCTTTGTCCATTCATGGTTTCTAGTCAGCTAATGGAGAGGACTACCCTGCCCTGGTGAGGAGAAGCAGCAGGCTGGATATTGCACCTTCAAGGATGGTTGGATATTGAGCGTTGAAGAGGATAATTGGATATAGCACCTTCAAAAAGCAGGGACTAAACGTACCTGGAAGCATGATACCTGGAAAACACACTTCTCCTTAAACCAAGGCTACATGCTGTGCTGGGGTGGACAGGACTTTCTCTGGCTGCAGCCTGAGACCTGACAGTGACTGTGTATTGGAAAGAAAGTTGTTGGAAAACGTGATTGTTACTTAAATATTACTTGAAATTAATATATTTTTATTATTTAAATGTTATTAAACATAACTATAGACTTCAGAGACCAAAAGGGAGAAGGCAGGTGGTGGCTTTCCCCTGCTGGCATCAAAGCAGCTGGTATCTGAGCTCATGTTTTATATTAGCAAATGATTCCTGGTTTATTTCTGGTTTTAAGGAAATATTAACCAGGTTTACATTGAAAACTTCTAAAGCCACCTGTATGCTTCTCCTTCTTCCTTCCCCACACTTTCATAGCTCGGTTTTCTCCCCTCTTTGCCCCATCCTTTGCGCTTTCTAAATGTCTGGGACAAGGTTATCATTCAATATTTCTCCTAAGGGTTTTATAATGTCGCTTCATCTAGGAGAATCATTCAGGACACATCGATACTCAGGATTCTTCAGATGAAGACTGGAAAATCTGAGTTCATCCTGTTATATCCTCAAAGCAGCCACGTAGGACAATGCTTGTGACCCAACTGTTGTACAATCACTAGTAAAGTGTATGGAAATAAATGCATCTGAGGGAAAGGACTCTCCATGACCAGCATAAACCATCCACACAGAGGATGCTTTGTTGTGTTTGTTTTCAGCTCCCTTCAATGCAATATTAGATGATCTCTCTGGATGTAAAGGGCTTCCTCAGGGACACACTGAAAGAAAGAGGTGTGTGATAGATGGAGAAATACAAAGGAAACTGTCCTGGGCCTGTCTTCCTGGGTAGGCCTCTGCAGGAGAAGTGGTCTTGGAGGTGTTGATGCAGCCAGAAGGAGTTTGGGGAGAGAGGAACTGAAAGGTTATTTTGCTGATCAAGTCAAACTAATTATCCGATGGAGGAGGGTCCTTTGGGAGAACGGTTTGCACAACACAAGCCTCTGAGGTAATGCCTCCTGTGAGATAAAACCCCTCCACCAGCCAGCCTGGAGCATCCTGCTCCCAAGCATCTCTCCTTCAACCATCGCATGGGCTCCAGAAGGAGCTGCAGGCACTGCATCCACCACCACCTTCCTCTTTAACCAAGCAGGTACAAAAGGGTTTGATGGGTGATGGTTTCAGTTTGACCCTGGGCATGCTACCTCTCACATTTTCGATGGCATGTTGAATTTCAGTCTTCATCAGGGGCTGTAGAGATAGGGCAAGGGGTGATGGGTTTAAAGTGAAACAGAGAAATTCAGGTTGGAGATAAGGAAGAAGTTTTTCCCTGTGAGGGTGCTGAGGCGCTGGCACAGGGTGCCCAGAGAAGCTGTGGCTGCCCCATCCCTGGCAGTGCTCAAGGCCAGGTTGGACACATGGGATTGTGTCCTGGTTTTAGCAGTAGCAGTCATTTTTCTCCTTCTTGGTAGCTGGTGCAGTGCTGTGTTTTGACTTTCAGCTGGGAACAGAGCTGAAAAACAATGATGTTTTTTGGTTTGGCCAAGGACTTTGTGAGTCTCATGCTCTGCCAGGGAGGAGGGAAGCTGGGAGGAAGCAGAGACAGGACACCTGACCCAAACTGACCAAAGAGGTATTCCATACCATAGCACGTGCCCAGGATGTAACTGGGAGTTGGCCGGAAGGGCAGAGTGGACTGCAGGGTTGGAGGAGGTATCGGTCGGTGCTTGATCGGGCTGGGGGGGCAAGTTATCAGTCGCCTGGTGATGGGGTGTTGTATTCTCTTCCCTTGTTATTTCCTTTATCATTACTATTATTGTTGGTAGCAGCAGTGATTTGTGTTATACCTTAGTTACTGAACTGTTCTTATCTCAACCCGTGGGAGTTGCATTCTTTCTGATTCTCCTCTCCATCCCTCCGAGAGTAGGGGGAGGGCAAGAAAGGGGGGGAGTGAGTGAGTGAAAGCTGTCTGGTTGAGGTTTAAACCACGACAGATTGGAGCAAGCTGCTCCAGTGGAAGGTGTCCCTGCCCATGGCAGGGGTTGGAACTGGATGACTTTTAAGGTCCCCTCAACCCAAACCATTCTCTGATAGCCCGCGGTGTGAATAAAAGTGCTCTAGTAGGTGGTAGGTTTGCTTCAAAAACCACGCATTCCTGTCCCCATCTACAAGTGATTTAGGGGTATTTTAGCAGCGATGTAGCCATTCATCGATAGATATTCCATCAGATAATTCACCTGCAGAGGAGCTGAATGGGGGACATGAGAATACCCAAGCTAACACCTTAAAATTTTGGTTTATATATGATATATTTTGTATTTTAACACCCTTATGTGGATATTTGGGTTGGTCATAGGAAGTTCACTGCAATCCCAGCAAAGCTCTGCTGGAGCCAAGAACACTGCTTTCCCTTATCCTTACGCAGGTTGGGGTTTTTTCAGAAGCAAATAAGCTTAGAACTTAAAGCAAATTTCAAGTATGTGGCTTTGTGTTCTCATGAAAAGGATGCAGCACAACTAAAGAGGGTACAGAAGGGCATTGATTCAGTCTGAGAAATACAAAAAAGAGAGAAAAAAATCCTTAAAACTCCCAGAAATCAGTGAAGAAAATGCAAAATCTTTTCTGTTTTCTACATTTGGGGATGTATTTATTTGATTGACGTTTCTCTATGTATCATTAGTGCAGTGTATTTCAAGCATGGTAGAATTATTCTTTTTTTAATTTCAGGCTGTGTAATGAGCTCCTTCACATCTTTCACTTCAGATCTTCGGCTACAGACAGAAAAACACCATTACAAAGACACCATTTTCTATTGCATATTCTTTCTGGATTAAACTCCAACTAAACTTCCACATTATTTCTCTCTTAGGGGTGTATTCATTTCATTTCAATCCAAGTCCATCAACTCGTTGAAATGACGGATACAGGAAACCTCACGCTTCTCTCCAGCTTCATCCTCTTGGGTTTCTCTGATACCCCAGAGCTACAAACCACCATCTTCATACTCTTTTTGTCCCTGTATGTTTTAATGGTGCTGGGGAACCTGATGATGATCCTGCTGATCAACACTGACCCCCACCTCCAAACCCCCATGTACTTCTTCCTGATCCACTTATCTTTCATGGATTTTTGCCTTTCCTCTGCTATCACCCCCAAAGCTCTGGAGACCTTCCTGCTGGGGAGAAGCCACATCTCCTTTTGGGATTGCTTTGCCCAGATGTTTATTTTCATGGCTCTGGCTGTCTCTGAGTGTTTCCTGCTTGGGGTAATGGCTTACGACCGATACACGGCTGTGTGCAAGCCCCTGCTCTACACCACTACCATGACCAGGGCACGTTGCTATGGCATGATGGTGCTGGTGTACACCATGGGGTTCCTCACCTCCCTGGTGCACATCACGCTGGCGGGGAGGTTGTCCTTCTGTCAGAACAGGAGCATCAACCACTTCTTCTGTGAGCTGCCCACCCTCCTGCAGCTCTCCTGCTCAGACACAAGCACAAATGAGGTCTTGCTTTTTTACAGCGCTGTATTTAACTCCATGGTCTCTCTCCTGATGATCCTGGTGTCCTACACCTACATCCTCCACACCGTCCTGCAGATCCCTTTGGCCACGAGGAGGATGAAAGTCTTCTCTACCTGCGCCTCCCACTTGGCTGCCATCACCATCCTCTATGCACCCGGGGTCTTCACCTATGTCCAACCTCATGAGGCATCCTCATGGGATCAGGCCAAGCTGGTGTCGGTGTGTTACTCCATCCTCACCCCAACCCTCAACCCCCTCATCTACAGCCTGAGGAACAAGGAGGTGAAGGGGGCTCTCAGGAGGCTGTGGGAGCGAAAGCTGCTGCCACATCTCTGCAGAGTTTAAAAGCACATTTGGAGCTCTTCAGTACTGTGGAGGTAAGGGAGGAATATGTGATTATGGAACTGATGATTACTGGCCACTACTGGTCATTATTGCTCACTATTGGTCATTATTATAGATAAGGAAATCACACAGCAAGTGCAGGGTGTGGAGAACCAGCACAATGAATGATTCTCTTCAAACAGCTTCAGGTGGTTTTACGCATGGCCTGAGCCTTCAATAATTTATTCAAATAAATATCAGCTCTTTAATAGCAGGCCTGAGACAGCGCCGTGGTGTTTTGTGTCTAAATAGTGCTAAATGAAAGCAGTGCCCACAAAAAGGAGGCTCAGCCTTGAGGTGAGGCACTGACCACTGTCTCCATTGCCTCCTTGATAAGCATTTTCACAATGATGAAGTCAGAGAAGGTCAAGAGGATTTTACACAGCTCTGGTGTCTGCAACAAAAGGAGGACATGGGGCTGCTGGAGCAAGTCCAGAGGAGGCAACGAGAGTGGTCAGGGGCTGGAGCACCTCCCATATGGAGTCAGGCTGTGAACATTGGGACTGTTCAGCGTGGAGAGGAGGAGCTGCGTGGAGACTTCAGAGCAGCTTCCAATGTCTAAAGGGGGCTACAAGGAACCAATAGGAGGGCTTTGGACATGGATGTGTAGGGACAGGCCCAGGGGAATGGCTTGAACCTGCCCAAGGGGAGACTGAGCTGAGCTCTTAGGCAGAAGCTCTTCCCTGTGAGGGTGCTGAGGCGCTGGCACAGGGTGCCCAGAGAAGCTGTGGCTGCCCCATCCCTGGCAGTGCTCAAGGCCAGGTTGGACACAGGGGCTTGGAGCAAGCTGCTCCAGTGGAAGGGGTTGAGGTTAGAACCGGATGAGCTTTAAGGTCCCTTCCAACCCAAACCAGGCTGGGATTCTGTGAAATAAATCTGTGACAGTCTGTTGGTCAACAAAGCCCTTGTGGTAAATGGGGACAAGTCATAT